GGCTTCTGACAGTTTTTGGTCCCACTGATGCAGGACCATGAACAGCAGCCAGAGAACTGCTTCTGTAGTTTTCCTTGAGTCCCTATGTTGGATTTCTAATTTGATCCACTGGGCGAACCCAGACAGGAATCTGAGGATAAAGAGGACCAATGGTTCCCCTCAGAATGAAAAATGTCTGCAACTAATCCACCAGCACTCACAAAGGCCCACTGGCATGACTGAGAGTGTCCTTGGGACCTCAGACTTTTTATTCTTTCAGAACAGCTTTGTGCTCAATTGGCCACCCTGCTCACTTCATCAATTTGTTGAGAGGAAGGAAAAAGAATCCAGGTGCAATAAAAGAGGACTGGTAAAATTATAAATATAAATATACATTTGTCACATGGCAAAAAATATAGCTAGCTAGCCCTGGCTGGGTGGTTCGACTGGTTGGAGTGCCATCCCATACACCAGAAAGGTGGTGGGTTTGATTCCCGGTCAGGGCACACACCTAGGTTGCAGGTTTGATCCCCAGTTCAGGCACATGTAGGAAACAAAGGATCGATGTTTCTCCCTTTCTCTCTCTCTAAGAATCAATAAAAGCATATCCTCAGGTGAGGATTTAAAATATAGATGGTAGATAAAAGCAAGACAACTGGCAAATTCTTAAAAACTGAGAGAAAAATACTTCAAAACCCAGATGGAAAAAAGTGGACAATCACAAAAAATAATTTAATAGTCTATAAATATATGAAAAGAAATCTAATTATCATTCATATTTTGAAAAGTATAAATTAAAACTACAATGAAAGTGAAAGTGGTGGAGTAGGGACCTCCAAAATTTTTCTCCTCCATATGAGCAGTGAGAACACTGGCAAAATTGTTAGAATCATCTTTTTTAGAACTCAGGAAATTAATCAAAGACTCACAGCAATCCAGGGAGCATTTATTTGTGAATATTTCTCTCTCTTCCACATCCAGCATGGCTAGAGAGCGATCCGGTTCCTGAGTAGGGGTTGCTGGGGATTGTGAAAATGAAAGAGACAGACACAGAGTTGGAAGGAAAAAGCTGGGCCCAGGTGGGACCACTGTCCTCTGATGGAGAGACAGGGACAGGGACCTAGAGCCAATACAGGGTGTTATTTTATACAGCAAAAAAACAGGAAGTTTTACTAAAAGTCAGGACAAAGGAGATTATGTGCATTCTTGGGTGGGCCTGAGTCATATTCATTCCTGGTGCTTGGCTGGATTTAAATAAAAAAACCTACCCCCTGGCACCTGGGCTGAAGGTCAAGCTGACAACACTCCTGCCTTTTGGCAAAGCGTGTTTCCAGGACATGGCTTTGCCAATGCTACTGGATTCAGTTGACAATAAAGAAATGCCCATGTGCCTTCTCAGGCACTCTCTGCATGTATTCAAGGAAAATGTTTGAATGTCATCAAGAACAATGAGTTTTATATTTCATCTTGTCCTATTCCCATCTACTCTAGCTCCACAGTAGCTTTGGAAACCACCAGTCTGCAGTCACAGCGAAACTAGCAGCCCAGCAGCTACTGGATGCAGAGCAGGACTGGAGTTCCTTTAATGCTCCATTTTCAGAAACAGATCATGAAAATCTGAGTTCAGGAGACAGAGACAGCAGTTGAGAAGACTAAGGAGGCTAGAATTTATGAGGCAGAACACTTGAAGGGATAGAGTTTTGCAAAGAGAGTACGCGCAAGATCTTGAGAGGTCTCCTTGTGAGTCTTTGAGTCCTGACAAAGCCTGAGAATTACCCAAGACTAAGAGAAAGATCACTGAAAAGAAGTAGGCAGTACAATTTCTGGAGCGCACACAGGACTGGGAAAAGTTTGTTTCCACTAGCCAGAATGTAAATATACAGATCAGGCAGAAATCCTCAGGGTTTCACCTTAGTAGTGGGGTTAAGTTAGCCCTAGAAAAAAAGGAGGTTTGGGTCCTGTCCTAAAGATAATTAATTAATTAATTAATTAATTTTAAAAACGCTTAAAAGGCGCATATAAATAAAAATGTCCTAAGGGGAAAAAAGTAAGCCTCAAAGTGATCCAACAAACTCTTAAGAAAAGGCATGCCGGAAGTAAAAGCCAACACTATTTAAAGGAATAAAACAAAACCCTTGCCCTAGCCAGTTTGGCTCAGTGGATAGAGCGTCAGCCTGGGAACTGAAGTGTCCCAGGTTCGATTCCAGTCAAGGGCACATGCCCGGGTTGTGGGCTCGATCCCCAGTGGGGGACTTGCAGGAGGCAGCCGATCCATGATTCTCTCTCATCATGGATGTTTCTATCTCTCTCTCCCTCTTCCTTCCTCTCTGAAATCAATAAAAAATATATTAAAAAACAAAAAACCCAAACAAACAAAAAACAACAACCAACAACCAACAATGCAAATTCACAATTGTCTGGCATCCAGCAAAAATGTATCTACCATTCAAAGAAGCAGGAAAATAAGGACAATTACCAGGATAAAAATCAATCAACTGATACAGACCCAGAAATGATAAACATGACTTAGCATCTGGGGGCATTAAAATAGCTATTGCAATGTTATGTTTCATATGTTCAAGAACATAGAGGAAAGTATGACCATGATAAGGATAGAAGTGGAAAATATAAAAAGGTCCAGACCTTTTGCTAGAGATAAAAAATACAGTATCTGAAATGAAAAACACAAGCATTGGAACTGATAAGACACTGCAGAAGAAAAGACCAGTTAGCTTACAGATAGCTAGAATGAAACAAAAAAAGAAAAAAGACTGAAAAGCTGGACAGAGCATCAGTAACCTGTGGAACAATGTCAAGCAGTCTATTATATGAACAGAGTATGTATCAGGAAAAAGGGAGGGACAAAAAAACAACAACTGAGAAAACAAAGGCCAAACGTTTTACAAATTTTATTAAGACTCTAAGCCTTTGGATTGAAGATCAATGAACCCAAAAACAGAATAAACATAGAGTTCAAACCACATTAAACTAATCACTATATTGTTTAAGATTAGATACATATATGGTAAAAGCAAAACCAAACATATGTAATACTTTCAACAATAAAGATTAAAAAAAAAAAAGGCAAAATTAACCAAAATTCAGGATAGAGGTTATCTCTATGGAGGATGGGGGGATGTGATTAGAGAGGGGATGCTCAAAGGCTTCAAACATATTATTTAGTATCTACTTTTTCTCAAGTGACATAAAAGGGTAGATAAGTTTTATTATTATTCTTTAAATTGGATACATACCAAATAATAGTTTTGCATATATAGCATCATAAAAATAGGAATGAATTAATAAAGTTTGTCCATTCTTCTGTGCTACCTATAACACAAGCCAAAAACCCAGGAGTCATCCCTTGACCATACCCTCAACCAAATCCCATAATCACTCCTAAATCTTTCTAATCTTCTACTTCCACACCCTCATCCAGGCCTCCTTCAACTGCCACCTGGAGCACGGAAACCCTTCCTTTCCCTTAAGGCAGTCAAAGAAAACATTTTTAAAATGTGATTATCGTTTTTGATTCCAATCTTGCCCACTTGCTATCAGCAACAACAGATAATTGCCCAAGACCGCACAGCCAGGAAATGGCAGGATTCAAAATCTATTCATCTTTCTCACCCTTGCGTTGAACAAGATAATACTGGGAAAGGCTTAGCCCAACCTGGCATAGATAGGGTAATCACTGGTTAAAGAATAGATTGACTTCTCCTCTTCCAATCACCCTCTCACCATGGAAAGGACCTAGTGCCCAGATGGGAATAAAAGTTACTGAAAACCCAAGTCCTTGTGGCCAGTAATTGGGTCACAAATGAGCACCCTCTTGTCCCTACTTTTAAAAAAATATATTATATCCACTTGGAATTTGGGTGGAGGACACCTGGAGGCCTGGCCCAGGTACACTGGGGCCGTTAGAACAGACCAAGCTGGCCATGCAGAACAGAGTTTGGGTGCGGGGAGAAGGCAGGCATAGCTAAGGCTCGGGACTTCCCCAGCTGCCCAGAGTAAGTTCGAGCCCGCAGAGATTCAGCTCTTTGCTTTGGCAGCACTTTCAGAATTGCTATCCATTATCTTTCTGTCCTACAGCAGGCACCATTATGTTCTGAGTTCTTAGTGTCTGGCACTAAGCATGACCAGGGTAGGCATCCAGGATATGGCAAGTCTGGATAAGCCCCATGAGCTCTTCAGGTCTGGCTCCGGCAACTCCTCGAGAGGTCTTCTTCCCTGACACACTGTTGTTCCCATGCCGTCCACCATGAATCCTCACAGCTCTGAATTGCAAACTTAAAAATATTTGCTGAGCCTGGCCAGTGTGGCTCAGTTGGCTGATCATGGTCCTGTGGGTTAACCAATCCCTTGTCAGGGCACATATGCCTTTCTGACCTTCCCTTTAGGTGCTCCTCCTCTCCATTGTCACTGCACCTAGGTGGACCTCTCAGCCCCTAGACCAAATGGTTCCTGGACCAAAGGAACCAGTCCTGATCCATCTCACTGTGGCACCACCTAGCAGGGCTTGGCAGCAGACTAAGCACAGGCAACATCTGCAGAAGGCATCATGGTTAAGAGGAATACCTCTGGAGTAGACAGATCCTGGTTGGGATCCCAGCTCTGTCACTTGAGAGCTCACTTGAGACCTTGGGTAAATTCCTCTCAATTAGTTTGCTGGTCAGAAAAGTGGCTGGCTGAGAAGTCCAGAAATGAGGTTCGAACTACCTGGTTGTTAGGATAGCCATTATACACTCAACCCAAGGGGAGGAGCAAGACAGGCCTTTTAATAAAAGGTATCTGGCACCTGAGCTCTGTAAGGAAGAGGCGAAGTTACGGTGGATTTGTTCTTCTCTGCACCAATCTAATGTCCTCTACCCACAAATCACCTAGAAAAGAGCCTAAAACAAGAATGAAGTACTAATACTTTATTTGGGTGGTGTAAACCCAAGGCACTGAGAGGGAGAAAAACAAGGCAGGGGAGAAGGGAGGCAAGGCAAGGCGCCAGCAGGTGGGTCCTGCTTCACGACAAGCCTTGAAGCACAGCGGGTGTGCTCACTGGCTGCTTGGGACATCTCCCCACTGGCTGTACTGTTCGGAGAAACAGTGTCTTGCAGCAATTCAGGGAAGGGAGGAAAGAAGAGGGAATTTCTCTGCCTTGGTCTCTCCCAACTCCCATTAGTCAAATGTTACCCAAGAGGAGGATTAACTCCCCCAGGCTTCTGTGTTACTAGTGGCATCTCACTTTCGATGCCAGATCCCATGCCCTGTGGTGGGGCATTCCATCCAAGTCTGGAAGTAGTGGGAGAAGACAAACTCTGGCCATGTGGCTGGTGAGCTCTGAACAAAATCTGAGTCAAGACATAAGATGTGTCCCAAACGGTCCACTAGTATTTTTTTCACTTACTAGAAGACCTTGGCCAAGGTCTCATGGCTAGTAAGTGGCATATTCAAGATTTGAACATAGCCTGGCTCTGGAAACTGTGGAAGACCAAGATAAGAACCTTGGGTTTTTTTATAGCAGGCAAAGGAGAGTCACTGAAGAGTTTCAAGTTGGGGAGTGACATAAAGAGCTTTTAAATAAAGCTCCCAATCTCTACTTTGCTTCATCTTTCCATGTAGCTAAACTCAGCAACAGTAGGTGGCCCCCAAGAGGTAAGGGCATCCAAGACAGTTTTTGAAGAGTCCCTCATGGGGTCCAGCTCATATGGGCTTCACTCAACACTGCCTCACAATGTTTCTCAGTCTGCAAATAAGCCTGTACCTACTAAGGAGACTAGCTGGTCAGAGGCAAGCAGGATCTAGTGGAGAAGCCAAAATGAAGGGAAGAGGAGGTTGACCTAAAGATCAGAAGCAGGAGGACCAGCTCTCTCTTCATCGTTGGCCTGTGGATTGGGGGATTCTGGCACCCGCAGATGAGTCCTTTGGTGTTGCCTGAGATGGTCAGATCTCATGAACTCTCGGCCGCACTGATCACATTTATGTGGCCGGTATCTGGTGTGTATCCGCATATGTCGTCCAAGCTCATCAGAACGGAAGAAAGACCACGTACAACCTTCCCACTGACATTTATAGGGCCTCTCACCTGGGAAGGGAAAGTGACAAGGGAGAGGAGGAATTAAGTAGAGGAATTTAGGCCAGCAGGTGGGAAGGAAGGGGTCTGACTCTATGAGGCAGAGCATTCATGGTTGAGGCATCAATAGGAAAAAACAGGAAAACAGTGAAGAGGCAACACGATCAGCAGTCCCCATCATCTTGATACAGTCATACTGGACTGTGGGAAAGCAAGTTGGTGAGGACAGTATAGCTTGGTCCCAAAAGTGAAGGATGACAGGCTAATCACCAACCATTACAAACCAGTGGTCCAGCAAAGCCCAGAGACTCCTCCCTCCCACCCGACCTGTCTGACACCTCACTCACCTGTGTGTTTGCGTTGGTGACTCAGGAGGTGGGAGCGCTTGGTGTAAGCTTTCCCACAGTTCTCATACTGGCAGCAGTAAGGCCTTGCAACCTGGGATCTGCTCCTGTAAGCCCTTTCTGAGGCCCCACAATTCTGCTCTGCTCTTTGTGGCGCAGGTATAGGCTGCTCGGGTAGGAAGGGGTCTTCCTGGGAGGCTGGCTGGCTAACAAAAGAGTCCTGGGATTCTAAAGTCAGCAATGATGGGGAGCCATCTGGGGGCATTCCACAGTTGTGGGGATCTCTAGGGGGTAACATCTGAGCCAAAGAGGGGAACCCAGCCTGGCCCTCAGCAGAAGGCACAGTGGCAGGCAATAACATTTTAGGTGTTAAAGAGTCGCTATTAGAAGGTACTGTAGGGTGGTCAGAATAATGCATTGTTGGTGTCCTAATGTGGGGCATTGTGACTGGTGGCCCATTGGGGGGCATGCTCAGATTCCCACTGAAGTTCATGGCCATCCCTGGAATACTGGGCTCTCCAAAGGACATCATCTGGGACCTGTTGAAAATCATCATTCCTGGTTGATAGGGAGACATTCTCTGACAGTAAATCATTTGGGAAGGAGGGAGAGTCACTTGGGGGCAATAGTTCACATTACACTCAGGCAACAACACACTGAACTGTAGCCCCATTTCATCTTCATTCTGCCTGGGCTCCTGAGCAGAACCCAAGGGCATCCTCTCCAGCTGTGGACTCTGAAGGACGTGCTGAATGCCTGATGAGTCCTGGTTCCAAGAGGTGTGCACTCCACTGCTTTCAGGTGATGGAGACATATTTGAGACGCACTTCGACTTCTCAGTATCCTTGGAGAGAGAGGGAGAGAGTCAGATGAGGTGAATCCTAGCTCCCACTCCAGTTCCACATGTCCCTCCCATCTCCTGACCACACCCAGATCCAGGCCCCCATCATCTCTAGTCAGGATTATCCTACCTTCAGGCCATTCTCCAGTCTAGGTTTTTCTTTTATTTTTTATAATCCTCTCCTATGTTATTTGTTTTGTTTTTTATTGACTTCAGAGAGAGAGGAAGGGAGAGAGAGAGAGACAGACAGAACATCGATGTGAGAAAGAAACATTGATGGGTTGCCGGAACCGGGGATCAAATCCTCAACCTTTTGGTGCACAGGAGGACACGCTAACTAACAGACACCTGGCCAGGGCTCCAGCTTGGGCATTTCTAGGATTCAGGTCTGGCTGATAGGATGGTGGAAGCTTAGGTGTGACTTACGCCACTTCTCCTCCTTGGCATGCTTTTGTTTATTATTTCATAAAAATAACAAAGACAGCAAATAAAATATTCCACAAACTACACCTTCAACAGAACTTTGAGAAAACCCTCAAGCTCCAGATTACATGTAAGTGTGAGGATGAAAGAACATACCAAACCAGCAGGATGGGTGCAGAAAGCCACAAAGGTAAGAATAGAGGCTTCAGCCCTAGCCAGTTTGACTCAGTGGATAGAGATTCAGCCTGCGGACTGAAGGGTCCTGGGTTCAATTCCAGGCAAAGGCACATGCAGGCTCAATTCCCAGTAGGGGGCGTGCAGGAGGCAGCCGGTCAATGATTCTTTCTCATCATTAATGTTTCTAGCTCTCTCTCCCTCTCCCTTCCTCTCTGAAATCAATAAAAATATATTTTAAACATAGCCTATCTAATGAAATAGTAATATGCAAATTAGCCATCACTCCATCACAAAGATGGCAGCGGCCACGGAGCTGGAGCGAGCAGGAGGCTTTGGTTGCCCTGGTGATGGAGGAAGCCAAGCTTCCCACCTGCCCTGGCTAGACCTGAGCTCTGCTCAAGGCTGCAAAGTTTCAATTATAGAAGATAAATAAATCCCAGATACCTGCTTCCAGCTCGCGGGCGTGGCCAGCCTGAAAACGGCTTTCAGCCCCTCACCCAGGCTGGTCAGGCACGCCAGTAGGGACCCCCACTGTGAAGGGGCTGTGGCCAGCCTGTAAACAGCCCTCAGCCCCTCACCCAGGCTGGCCACACCTCCATGAGGTGAGGGTCACAGCTGAGGTCTTGGACAGTCATCAGCCCCTCACCCAGGCTGGCCAGGCACCCCAGCGGGGAACCCCACCCTGAAGGGGGTGTGGCCAGCTTGAAAACGCCCCTCAGCCGCTCACCCAGGCTGGCCAGGCACCCCAGTGGGACCCCCACCCTGATCCAGGACACCCTTCAGGGCAAACCAGCTGGCCCCCACCCGTGTACCAGGCCTCTATCCTATATAGTGGTCAGTGTGCTCCCTCACAGGGACCTCTGCTCAGCCACAAGCCAGGCTGATGGCTGCCAGCAAGCAGTGGTGGTGGGAGCCTCTCCCACCTCCTCAGCAGCGCTAAGGATGTCCGACTGCAGCTTAGGCCTGCTCCCCGCTGGCAAGTGGACATCCTCTGAGGACTCCCGGGCTGCCAGAGGGATGTCTGACTGCCAGCTTAAGCCTGATCCCCCGGGGAGCGGGCCTAAGCCAGTAGGTGGACATCCCCTAAGGGGTTTCAGACTGGGAGAGAGCACAGGCCGGGCTGAGGCCCCCCCCGAGTGCACAAATTTTTGTGCACCAGGCCTCTAGTACAGTGGTTCTCAACCTTCCTTATGCTGCAACCCTTTAATACAGTTACTCATGTTGTGGTGACCCCCAATTTCATTGTTACAAATTGAACATAATTAAAACATAGTGATTAATCACAAAAACAATATGTAATTATATATGTTTTCCGATGGTCTTAGGCGACCCCTGTGAAAGGGTTGTTCGACCCACAAAGGGGTCACGAACCACAGGTTAAGAACCGCTGCTCTAGTATATAATAAAAAAAATAAATTAAGCCACACATATAATGCAACCCCCCACACAAAGAAAACAATAGACAAATATTTTAAGAATATAGATGCGAAAGTCCTCAACAATAAAACTAGCAAACCAAATCCATTAGAGGATTATACAACATGACCAAGTGGAATGGATCCCAGAAATGCAAGGTTGATTCAACATATGAAAAATCAATCAATGTAATGTATTACATATGTAAAATAAAGGGGGGGGGATTATCTCAATTAATACCAAAAAAAAGCATTTGAAATAATTCAACCCTTTTCATGATTAAAAGACACTCAAAAACTAGAAATGGAAATTTCCAACACAATAAAAGGCATTCATGAAAAACCCACTGCTAACATCATACTCAAGTGAAAAACTAACAGTCTTTCTTCTAAGGTAAGGATGCCCACTTTCTTCTTTTTTAAAATATAGTTTTTATTTTATTAATTTCAGAGATGAAGGAAGAGGGAGAGAGAGATAGAAACATCAATGATGAGAGAGAATCATTGATTGTCTGCCCCCTGCATGCTCCCCACTGGGGATCAAGCCCGCAACCTGGGCATGTGCCCTTGACCGGAATCGAACCTGGGAACCTTTAGTCCACTGGTCAATGCTCTACCCATTGAGCTAAACTGGCTAGGCCAGGATGCCCACTTTCACCACTTCTAGTCAACACTGTATTGGCAGTTCTAGCCAGAGCAATTAAACAAGAAAAGAAATAAAAGGCAATCAAACGGAAAAAAAGTAAAACTATCTGTGTTCTCAGATAACACAATCTCATATGTAGAAAACCAGAAAAAACTACAGACACACTAACATAACCTGTTAGAAATAATAAACAAATTCAACAAATTAGCAGGATACAAATTCAACACACAAAAATCAGTTGCTGCTATACCCTGTCAATGAACAATCTGAAAAGGAAATGAGGAAAACAATTCAATTTATGATAGCATCAAAAAGAATTAAATACTTACAATTAACCAAAGAGGTTAGTGTAATCCCTGAAAACTATAAAACATTACTTAAAGAAATTAAATAAAACTTAAATAAATGAAATGAAAAGACATGTCCATGGGAGGACTTAAAAGTTATGATGTCTGCCAAAACCGGTTTGGCTCAGTGGATAGAGCGTCGGCCTGCAGACTGAAAGGTCCCAGGTTCGATTCCGGTCAAGGGCATGTACCTGGGTTGTGGGCACATCCCCAGTAGGAGATGTGCAGGAGGCAGCTGATTGATGTTTCTCTCTCATCGATGTTTCTAACTCTCTATCTCTCTCCCTTCCTCTCTGTAAAAAAATCAATATATTAAAAAAAAAAAAAAAAGTTATGATGTCAATGTTACCCAAAGCAATCTATAGACTCAATACAATGCCTATCAAAATCCATTTTTGGCAAAAATAGAAAAATCCACCCTAAAATTCATGTGAAATCACAAGGGACCCCAAAATAGCCACACACACACACACAAAAACACAAACAAACAAACAAACAAAAAAACACCTTGAAAAAGAACAAAAATTGGAAAATTTACACTTCCCGATTCAAAACTTACTACAAAGTAAATAAGCAAAACAGTATGGTATTGGCAATAGGGTAGACCTATAGACCAACAGAAAGAAACAGAGTCCCAAAATTAAGCTTCATATTTATGGTCAAATGATTTTTAGCAAGGTTTGCAAGACCATTCAATGGAGGAAAAGACAGTCTTTTCGATAAATAATGCTGGAATAACTGGATATCCACGTGGAAAAGAATAAAGTTGGAACCTTACTTAACACCATATGTAATTCAAAATGGATCAAGACCTAAACACAAGAGCTAACGCTATAAAACTATTAGAAGAAAACAGGAGGGGGAGCTTCATAATACAGGATTTTGCAATGACTTCTCGAATAGGACACCAAAGGCATAAGCAACAAAAGATAAAATACAAACAACCCAATTCAAAAATGGACAAAGGACTTGACTAGACATTTCTTCAAAAACATACAAATGGCCAGTAAACACATGAAAAGATGTTCAACATCAGTAATCATTAGGAAAATGCAAATCAAAACCACAAAGAGATACTGCTTCACAACCATTTAAAATGATTATAAAAAAAAACAAAAGTGTGAGCAAGATGTGAAGAAACTGGAATCCTTGTGCATTGCTGTTGAAAATGTAAAAATATGCAAGCACTATGGAAAACAGTATGCTGGTTCCTCAACAAATTAAAAAACAGAATTATCATGTGCTCCAGTAATACTCTTCTGGGTATCTATAGTAATAAAAGTGTAATATGCTAATTAGACCAGACGTCCTTCCAGATAACCTTCTGGACGAAGCCGGAGCAGTGAGGGAAGCCCAGGTCCCAGGTGCCGGAGGGAAGCTGGTGCCAGCAGCCGGGGGAAGGAAGGCCTACCCTTGCACAAATTTCGTGCATCGGGCCTCTAGTATACCTATAAGAATTGAAAGCAGCAACTGGAACAGAAATTCATACTCCCATGTTCAGAGCAGCATTTTTCACAATAGCTAAAATGTGGAAACAACCCAAGTGTCCATCAAATGGATAAACAAATGTAGTATGCCCATACAATAGAATATTATTCAGCCTTAAAATGGAAGGAAATTAACACAAGCTTCAACCTGAATGAACTGTGAAGATATTATGCTAAATAGAATATACCAGTCACAAAAGGACAAATAATGTATGATTCCATTTACATGAAGTACTTAAGTCAAATCCAAAGAGGCAGAAAGTAGAATGGTGGTTGCCAGAGACTGGGGGGTGAGGGGGATTGGGAAGTCACTGTTCAATGGTTAGTGAGTTTCAGTTTGGGAAGATGAAAAAAGTTCTAGAGATAGATGGTGGTGATGGTTGCCCAATAAAATGTTAAATGTGCTTAATGCCACTGAACTGTATACACTTAAACATGACTATGATGATATTTTTGTATTACGTAGATTTTACCACAATTTCAAAAAATGTTTTTTAAAAAAGACACTGGCCAAATTTGTGAAAATTGGAGAGTCAAAAATAATAATTGTTGATTTTAATAGAAATTAAAATGGTATCAAGCTGAATGATACCATAAGAAAGCAATCTGATAAATGTAGAAAAAGGAACATTCTATAAGACAAAAATCAGTATCATGAAAAAAGGAGTTAGTCAGGAAAAAGAACTCTGTGAAAATTCATGAGCCAAAAGTGACTAAGGATCAGTTCCTATCCCGGCTTCAGACATGTGAATTGAAGTGAAGCAATGAAGTATTTATTCTGTCTTTCTGGTAGGAAACTGTTATTTTGAAATCACCAAATGATTCCAGTTGTTTAAGAAAAATCCTACTTTGCAGAAGAACACAAACTAATAAATGTGGAAGGAATGGTGGAACTGCAAAATCATTATTTTACAACCCCTAATGCAACTCTGGATTGAGGAAAAATTAGTATTTGGTTGAAACCACTAGGTAAATACTTGGTGGGGAACTGGGACATTTGGATGCATCAAAGGTAACATACATAGATTCCTTTGTGACTGCAAGGCTAAAGATAAGCTTGAATAGAGATCAGGCTTTTCCCTACCTCAGTTCAAGGCCAAGCCTCGTGTCACCCAGGGTGGAGAGCCAGATGAAATGCAAGATGAAGCTCACTGTAACCATGAGACATTCTTACCAAAAATCAAGAATCCAGTTAAGCTTTAAGACCTAACTCTAATTTAGAGATAATACAAGAGATAGAATACAAGCTAGATGATATCCTCAGAAAGCAACCTGATAAATCCAGAAAAAGGAATATTCTATACGACAAAAATCAGGATCATGAAAAAAAGGAAAGTTAATTAGAAAAAAAAAGAAAACTATTCTAATGTCAAAGATACCCAAAGGACAGAATAACCAGGCACCGTGTGTGGTCTTAAATTGGCTCCTGGTTGGGACAAGTCAGCTTAAGGACATTTTAGAGACAACTAGTGGGATCTGAATAAGACTTGCAAGAAGATGTTATTAAGAGATTGTCATTCGTTTTTATAGATTTAATGGTGTTTTGACTATGGAGGGTGCGGATTTTTAAACCCCTCAAGTGTTAGGGAGATCCTGTTTTATTCTCCACTCTGTGCTCAGCAGCTAGCATAAGTAAACACATACACAATAGGCCCCAGATAAATGTCTATTGGATGGTATTTGGGGGATGCTCACCCCCTTTTCCCCACTCTCAGGAGTGGCCCTCTTTTATTTTCGTTATCCTGCACAGGCAAACTTCTTGGGAAGTGTCTAAACTCACCGTTACCGCCCCCTCACTTATTATTCCCCCAAATTTACTACATCGCTTCACAGAACCAACTTGCAAAAAGGTCACCGATGACCCGCATGTCACCGAGTCCAAAACCGCGTGGGGCTCCTCCTCGCTTGACCCCTTAGGAGTTGCTGAGGTTACTGGGCCCACACTCCTAGGTGTGTTTCCTTCCCTGGGCCTCGGAATGCAGGCAGGAAGACCTGGACACACGAGCCGGCTTCCTCCTTCCCCTCTGCCTGGCCCTCCTCCTCCTGTCTCCTTCGCAGACTTCCCCGGTGCTACTCTCTGGGCAATCTTTCTCATGCTAATGATCCATTTCTGTTTCTATTCCAATTATTCTTTAAACAGTAGCCCGAGGGCAGATCTCCCCTGAATCCTCCAGCTGCCTACTGCTCTGGCCGTTTGGATGACTCACGGGCCCTTTGGACTGTGTGCAAAACTCCTGATTAACCTTACCCACCCCCAAGCCACCCCCAGGGAGAAAAAACAAAACAACAAAAAACTTAATCCTGTTTTCTTCTCAATCTTTCCTCTCTTAAGAGAATGTCACCAATATCTGCACCTACTTGTGCAAGCCAGAAATCTGTGAGGCTGTCCTGGATGCCCCCCTCACCACCTAGATCCGAGTCATTACCAATGTCCACTTTCGAAACCTCGCCGGGACCTCCGTCTCCTGTCTCCTCTCCAGCGAGGCCGCCATTTGCATTTGCACCTGGATTATCTCAATCGCTTCCTCACTATTGCCTTGAATTCTGCCTACAATTGCCAGGGCACTCTTTTAAAAAAATGTAAGTCTTACGGTGGTTCAACTCATCAGTGGCTTCCTACTGGTTTTGCAATAACCAACTCAAGGCCTGCATGACCTCAGTGGTGCGGGGATCCCTGCCTCCCCTTCCCTTGGGCCACGCTCCCATCACTCTCTGGACTGGCCTCACTCACAGTCCATCTTTCCCTTCCGCCAAGGTGGGGGCCTGCAGTCTGGCCTCAGGTCTCCAGTCCCAGACCAAATCCACAGCTATCTCTCCGCGTCCTACACCAGACCACACACCTCTGCTCTCCGCTCCCGCGGCCCCCCGCACTTCTCCGGCACAATCTGTGCACTCCGCGTCATTTGTGGATTTATCAATAAAATGGTATACCGTCTTATGGAAAACTCCCCATGTATTCCCATGTTCCGGCAAAGGCCTGACACCTAGTAGGGCTCCAATAAATGCTTTTTGCTCCCTGAATACATCCCACCGACTTCCTAACTTGGCCTTCTTTCCTCGGTAGGCAAGTCCCTCTCCTGGAAGCTACCTGGAGCCTTCCACCCCAGCGCCCGAGGCGCGAAGGCTCAGTGACTATTCACCGAATAAACGTGATTTTTATTTTTACTTTTTTGGTAGCTGTAGACGGCAATGTCCATGTTGCAGAAACTCTGCACTGTTTCTCAACTACAGTTTACATCCGATATCGCGACACACGATCTAGCATCCCTCCCAACCCCCTCCCTCCGAATCCCAAAGCCCCAGCTTCGCTCCCCTCCCCGCCGCCGCCCGCCCAGCCCCGGGGCCGACGCCCGACCCACCCCCGCCACCTGGTGCGGGGCCGCCGGCCACGGGTTCGCTCGCTCCATCTCCGCCTGGGATCCGCGCGCCGGGGGCTGTGTGCGGGTCCGGGCCACGTCGGGGCCGAGCTGAGCCGCGCTGCTGGGCGTCGCAGGTCGCGTGTCGCGCACCTTCACGCCACAATCGCCGCGCTCCATTTCTACTTCCCGCCGCGCGGGGCGGGGCCGGGGCCGCACCCACCCACCCACCCACCTGCGGGCCCGCCCCACCCCTCCGGGCCGCCACCTCACCCTTCCCCACTGCCTTCGTCTTCTCCTGCCCCGCACATTCCCCACCCACCCTTCAGTCTGAGCCTCTCTGCTTGGCCCAAGTGGGGTTGAGGGCACTGAGGTTTCGGACCCGGCCCGGCCTTGTTGGCCTCGGGACGGGCAGGAGGCTGGAGACAGTGGCAGGTGGGGCTGTGGGGCTTCTGCAGACAGGAGCGCCCCCACCACCCACCCAGGTTAGGGCTCTTGACATAAGCTCCTGGCTCTTCTCCGCCAGGTACTGCTGTCCCCCCTGCGCACAACCCAAAGCTGGGAGCTCCAGGCTGCAGGGAATGCCTCTAGTCTGCCATAGGCATGCAGTTCCTACCACGTGTCCGGAACCGTGTTTGGGAACTAGGGACACAGCGGCCAACAAGACAGAACGAAAGTTCTTGCTCTCAAGGAAGCTTCATCCTCAATGTGCAAACAAGAAGCGAACATAACAAAGTCAATAGTATAATTGTTAGAGGGTGGCGAGTGCTGTGGAGAGAACATAGGAGAGCATGTGACCGAGGAGGAGCTGAAGTAGCTCTCCAAGAAAAAGATGTCGTGGCTTAGTGGGTGCTGATGATGGCGGTCAGAGAATGCCCTAGGACTACATGGGACAGACGTGGTAATGGACTCGAGTGGGAACGGGCTGGGAGGAAAGAGGAATCAAAGACGATTCATAGGTTTTTGACTTGAGCAACTGAGTGGTGACTGCACCACCTGATGTGGAAAAACGGGAAGCAGAGCAATTGTTTAGAATTTTAGCGAGGAGGAGTTACCACAGGCATTATTTAACACTTCTGGCCCACAGTAATAGTAAAAAGCAGATCAACTTTTAGTTGGGTATTATTTTTAAGCTCTTGACAGATATGCACTCCCTTTCAGCCTGCACCTGGGACAGACTGCTGCTCTTCCATTTCTCCCATCTACTATTACTTTATTTTATTTGTATTGTTCTTATTTTTTTGTTGTAATTTTTTTTTGCCATTTTTATCAAAAATATGCCTGGGCCTGTGTGGCCAAGTATTAGCCTTGTGATTTATTATCTATTAATTCTATACATAGATAATCCATGTATTCCATTAAACCCCCTCACCCCAGGCAGGACCAGATATAGCCAGCCTCACCCTTCAGTTCACAGGCCGGTGCTCTACATACTGAGCCAAAGCAGCTAGGGCACCTTCAGCTTTTTTATCTAGAGCCTATTTTTGTGGTGGACATCTGGAACCCCAAGGCTCCTGTCTCCTGCCCCATTATCTGCTGACCCTCCTACAAGAAGCATGCTGGGGCCTGGGAATGACTCAGGGCCAGACATGTCCCCTTGTTCTCCCTGTCACCCTCCCAGAACCTGGGTCATTCTGGACTCTAGTCCTGGGTCAGTGAGACGCCCATCCACCTACTGCTCCCAAGGAAGGAAGGGGGGTCTCGAGAAACTCCAATCTGTAGCCAGTCAGAAGCACAGGTAACAACCTGGGCTTGCTACTGGCCTCTGAAGTGGGGAGCAGGGGCGTCTTGTAGACTGATCTCTTAACCTGTGGACTCCAAAGCTATTTCCAGGTAGACAGTGTCTGAATTGAGTTACATTGCAGGACACCATGCTTGTGTCCATGAAGTGCTTGTTGGTGTGGGGAAGACTTCCCCTCCCCGACATACACATTCAGACACATTGGAATGGGGTCCAAGAACCTAAAAGAGTTCGAGAAAATGTTTGCTCATGATAGATGGTTCTTAATGTCTTACCTCTCCATTCTCTGAAGGGGAAACTAGTTACTTCGGTAAAAATTATAATGAGGTGACTGAGGCTGGACCAGGAGCAACTGTGGCAGAGGAGTATATTGTGTATCAGAATGTTCACATCAACTCTTCTCTTCATGAGAAAACAAAAGCCAATCTTAAAAATCAAACTAAAATGTATGGTTGTATTATACCTTACACAGTGAAATCAGGAAACAGACACGTTCATTATGAAGGCAACTTTTCAGGTCAGTGTAAGGATTAAACCTGGTTTGATTACATGGACTTGGGTTTTATATAAAATTGCTAGTAGTGTCTATGAGAAAGGGGTTTTGTTTTGTTTTGTTTTGTTTTGTTTAACCCATTTAAAATGTTAGAAGTCCTGCTGCTTTGTTTGCTGGGAGTTTGGACAATACTGGATTTATGTAAGCTCTAGTTAGTATCTATAAACCAATCAGAACAAATCTACTTTCATTTGAGTTTTCATAATCTAATTTGAGGGTTTTTTTGTTTGTTTTTAATCCTCCCCTGAGGATATTTTTCCATTGATTTTTAGAAAGAGGCAAACACAGAGAGAAATATCGATGTGAGAGAAACACATCAATTGGTTGCCTCCAGCCTGAGCCGGGCCAGGGCCAGCGGGGAGGAGGAGCCTGCAATGGAGGTACGTGCCCTTGACCAGGTACGTGCCCTTGACCAGATCCAACCTGGGATCCTTCGGTCCACAGGCCGAAGCTCTATCCACTGAGCCAAACCAGCTAGAGCCATAATCTAATTTGTCAGTACCCATAGGAGGTAGATTCCACATTTGCACAATGAAATTTAAGGCTTTACTCATTTATAGGCTTACAGATGCCCAGAGTTCACAGCTTCAGCTTTACAACTTCAGTCACTACTCAGAGTGGACGCAGAACCACAAACACTCTGGACACAGAACCAGTCCAGATCTCAAGGGGCTCTTCTCCTTTCCACCGGGCACAAAATATTTTAGTGATTCGATCCCTTAAATCAATGATCAGAGGATCAAAAAAAAAAAGTAACAAACCAGATTCTCTGTCGCCTCTCACCCTACAGAGAGACTTCACCCTCCACCCAGCAGAGATCAGCAATGATCAAACCATAACACCAGCTCTTGACCATTGCTGCTTCCCAGTGGGAAAACGCATTGGCCTGCATAAATTAGACTCTGTATACACAGACTGCCCTCTTAGCAGTCAGTCTAGACTGGCCAAGTGGTCTAACACCCTCTTGTAAAGGAGGATTTCCCACCTCCTAAAAGGCAAACCCCAGTTCTTCCCTATTATGTCTTTATTCCCTGTGTCTCCTTTACTTTCACACAGAACACTTCACTTTCCCACCAAGCAATCTCCAACGCTAGCTGGGTGTCCTACAATTTAACTCAATTCTGACACTGTCTACACAGACAGCATCAGATTCTACAGGTGGAGAACTCCACCTTACAAGACTTCCCCCACCACTTCAGACTCCAGTTGCAAGCCCAGTTGTCACCAGTGCTTCTGTCCTACCTGCTATAGTGGGAGGTTCCAACAACCCCTTCCTTGGGTCTGATTATTTACTAGAGTGGCTCACAGAACTCAGGGAAACATTTTACTTACTAGATCACTGGTTTATTATAAATGGGTACAACTTAGAAACAGCAGGATGTAAAAGATTCACAGGTTAAGGTATGGGTAAGGGGGCGGAGCTTCTACACTCTCCAAGTGCATCACTCAGCCTGAGTCTCCACATGTCCACCAGCCTGGGAGCTCTCTGAACCCCGTCCTTTTCAGTTTTTATGGAGCTTCATTACACAGGTATGATTGACTAAATCATTGGCCAGCGGAGATTGATTCAACCTCCTGCCCCTCTCCTCTCTCTGGATGTCAGGTGTATGGGACTGAAAGTTTCAACCCTAATCACATGGTCAGTTCTCTGGGCACAGACCCAGGAATCCCAAATCACCTCATTAACACAATAGACACTTTCTATTTCCATCACTTAGGAAATTCCAAGGGTTTTCAGAGCTCTGTGCCAGAAACCTGGACAAAGATTTTATATATATATACTAGAGGCCCAGTGCACAAATTCATGCACTGGTGGGGTCCCTTGGTGTGGCCTGTGGGGATTGGGCTGAAACCGGCAGTCCAATGCTGCCTGTTGCTCCTGCCTGCTGCTCCCACTCATCCTGGCCCGCTGAGCCTGCAGTGGGCTCGCGCCCAGTCAGTCCTGATCGGGAGAGGCTCCGCAGCCTGTCCTGAGGGGAGTGTCGGCCCTCTGGGTGGGTGGTAGAACGCCCTTGTCGGCCCAGGATCTGGATCCGTTCTGCTAACATTCACACTGGTTGTCGGTTGTCGGAAGCCACCTGATGGCTGCTTTTATATCGTTTCTTCCTTGTGGAGCGTCTAGGGAGGGGAAGCAGGCGCAGTGCCGGAGGCTGACTTCCAGGAGGCCGGTGGTGCTGTTGGGATCTTGCCGGTGGCGCGGTCCCTTGGTGCCTGGCCCATTCTCCAGAGACTGGACCTGCAGGACTACTGAGGGAGTGAGTGGCTGCTGCCCCGCTGGTGGGCCACTACAGTCAGTCAGCTAAGTTGTGGGAGCACACCGACCACCAGGCCCCCTGGTCATCAGTGCGCATCATAACGACCAGTCTACTGGTTGGTCACTTAGGCATATATATATGATCAACCCATTTAAAATGTTAGAAGTCCTGCTGATATATATATATATACACACACATATATATTTCTTACTATAAATCATAACATCACAATAGGGCACTGGCAGAGTAACTTAATCTCAACTATTATCCCTGGTGGCCACTGGCCTACAGACAACCCCAAATCATGGAGTATGGGCTGCTCCATTGCAGCCTCTTGTTACCCTCCATCTCTCCAATATCTTCTCTTCCTGCTCAACCAGTCACAGAAAGCAGACCAAATCCACTGCATTTTTTGTGTGATACCACTAAGTGCTATTATGCTGTGAGTGCAGCTGTCACTATTTAAAAATTGGTTACTGTCTTTAAAAAAAAAAGGAGTGTG